GGATTAACTGTGGACGCAAGAGGAAGCTGTCTGAAAGGGATGTTATGGTCTAAAACCAGCAGTTTCACTTTCATTGTCTAATCCCTGTATATACATTGTAATGAACTGTGGCATTTAGCTGATGATTAATGAGGATTAATATCTAAATCAGCGACTGCGTGTTGTGAAATTATACTTACAAAACATCAATGTGAGTGCATCGCACATAAATATGTCATCACGTGGTTCTAATTAAAGTAATTGCAAAGTGGCAAATAATACTTGTTGACAGTTTTTCTGAGGATTAATTGCACACGATATGATTTTGCCTGACTTAGTAGAAACAAGTGGACAGAGCTGAAAATTTTAGTGTCGTGAAACATTTTACTTTTTCCTCCAAAAAAAAAGTCTGCATCTTGTTTATTAACTCATCATTAATGTGTGCATAACAAAACTTAAAAGTAGCTTAAATAATGCAGCAAACAGGCCTGAATCATCCCACAACAATGCTGTATTATCTGTGCGTGCATGCTGCCACCTTTAGGACATCAAAAGAAAAGCAGAGGAAAGAACAGGAAGGAAACCAGTCAAGTTAAAGTGCAGCAACTTTTATTCCAAAAGCATAGATTCGAGAATTAAAGATGTATATACTTACATGTGTGAATAAATGATACACAAAGTGGGATAACCATTGCACTTCAGCAGCTGCACAGTCTGTATGTACTTCTGTGCAAACATGAAAATGTCTTTAAGAACAACTTTGTTACAGTTTGTTAAAGACACAACACTCCTTCTCATTTTAGGGAGATTTTACTTTTTTTCTGTTTGAGTCACTTTCCTCAAGGAAAGAAGTTTCAACAGCAGGACTTTATCTCTGCTTGTAACGATGGTCCATTTGTTGCAACYTGTCATCGCCATCTCTCCATGAAAACACCAGAAATTAAAAGAAAAAATTCAAATCTTCAGCATTGCAGCTTTTGGTTTTTTACTCAGTTCATCTCCGCTCACACGCTCCACAGCAACACTTCGAATCAGCTRTTCCTCTTCCAGGCGTAAATGAAGATGTTTTAGGGGGTCCATCTGTGCTTTTAGGACAGTAAAGATGAAGGTGGCGCACTCTGTAGAGTTACATCTGCTGGCAGGAAGGAGGGAGGCACAAAGTCTTCCTAGTTGGCTGGGTGTGGCCGTCCCTCTGGGATGAGCGAGGTGAAGAAGGTGCTGATGAAGGACCAGGCGACGCTGATGGGGCTCGGTTCCTGGACAGCAGCGGCAGCTTGGACCCGGTCCCCTGGACCCCCAACACCTTCCTCACCTCTGTCATCATCCTCCATCCCTTCGTCCATCATACGTTCCTGAGACGGGAGTGAAATATTTTAACTTTCAGATGTTAAACAGGAATATAATAACACTACATGGGTTCTGTTATCCACATCTGATGTGCATTATTGAAGGATTTCAGATGCTACGTTTGTTATTTAAAGCTCCGTTTACACTTTTTAACCTCCACTTTTAACATCAAGCTATCCAAATAATGGAAAAAGGACAGAACTGCAGAAAAACAAGAACAAAAACAATTTAAAAAACAGTTGCATACAATTCTTGCTTTTATTTTTTCTAAAGAGAAACAAGGATTTCTGCAGATTTTTTTTCTTTCCAGAGTGCATAAAAGACGACCAACACCCATCTTAATTATGAAAACCTCTCTTGATAAGCCAAAAACAAAAGAACAAATCAAACATCTTGAAATTATTTTTTAAAGAAAGAGACAATAATATATGTTTATCCTAAATGCCTTACAAAATCCATTCAATTTCGATTCATAAGGGTCTGAATTAATCACAATTTGATTCAATCTGCTTTAAAAATAATGAAAATGGTTCAACTGTGTTCAGGGTTCCTACAGTTTAAGGCAAGTTAAATTTAAGACTTTCTAATGCCAAATGAAATTACATTTAAGACCAATTTCACAATAAACACAAAGAACAAAAAAATAAATAAATAAAAACTGGCAGAAACTCATGAATATTCCTAATAAACCAATTGTTTTTAACAATATCAAACTGCGTTTTTTGTCAAATATACCAAAAACATTCTTAACAGTCAGTTTTAAACTTTATTTAATTCCTAGAAATTCTCTAACGACCCAAAATTTGGAGTTTTAGGACCCACGGTGGGTTCTCAACCCTAATTTGCTGTAGATGAAAACTTAAAGTGCCTGTGACATCAACTTTTTTGTAAGAAACGTGAATACATTTTTGGAAATATAACATTATTAATATATGAAAGAAATTTTGCGATGTTCAGACGGACGCTTGTTGAGATACAGTGGGGAAAATAAGTATTTAGTCAGTCACCAATTGTGCAAGTTCTCCCACTTAAAAAGATGAGAGAGGCCTGTAATTGACATCATAGGTAGACCTCAACTATGAGAGACAAAATGTGAAAAAAATTTTGAGAAAATCATTTCGTCTGACTTTTAAAGAATTTTTTTGCAAATAATGGTGGAAAAGAAAAAGTATTTGGTCACCTACAAAC